TGCTCTTCCGATCTTTTCATTCACAATATCATAGATTTAATAAAATATAAGAACATTTTTTTATTTTTGTAATATAATTTAATGAAGTTATTTTAACCTTAAATAACCCATAATAGGGACTGTCACCTTAATATTCAAGCAAAAAATTCATACAATGTTAATTATAACATTTATATAGTTCCTTTAAAATTGTAACAATTCTTTTATTATTTTATAAGTTATTTTGTTAGTAGTTTAATATTCATAATAATAATATAAAGATTTTTTTATTTTATTAATAATATATATTTTTTTTAAATAAAATGCACTAACATATGTTATTTTAATCAAACGTAGTACAATAAAGGCCTATAAGAGCTAACACGGATATCGGTATAAAAACTATTACACCGACATCCGTGTTACCTGTCATAGGTTTTAATTGTACTATGTTTGATTTAAACTCAAAAGCTTATGTATATTAATATTTTTATATTTTTTAATTTTTTGTTTCAGTCTAATAATTTACAAGAAATAATTTTTGCGGCCTTTGAGGCGATGAGTGAAAGAGGGAGAGGAAGAGGGAGAGGAAGAGGAAGAGGAAGAGTCTTCCTCTCCCTCTTCTTCTCCCTCTTTCACTCCTCTTCGGAAGAGGGTGAGGAAGAGGAAGAGGAAGAGGAGGAAGAGGCAGAGAAAGAAGGAGAGGAAGAGGTGGTAGAGGCAGAGGTGGGGGGCAGAGGGAGGGGTACAGTTATAAGGGGAAAGGGGGAGGGAATAAATGTTTTCTTTTATTCTGTCCTCCTTTCCCCTTATAACTGTACCTTAACTGCAACTTTTATAATAAATAAAATATGCTGTCTATATGCTATTCTGCTTAAATAAATAAAATATAATTTCTTTCTAAATTATTACAAGTGTATTTCTATATTATTAAGTTTTAGAACCCATAAAATTGTTGAGTCCTTAATCCTTATATCCTAAATCCAGAGCATATACATATGTATATATATTTTTTTTTGCAAAAGAAAATTTGTAATTCAAACAAAAAAAATAGTAATAATAATAATAAATCACGCGGATTCATACATTTTATCCATTTATTTCCCATAAAAAAAATTGTACATAAATTTTTGCCTTTTTTATTACATTTACTGTCTTGAAAATTATTTTTCTAAATTGCTGTGTATTAAAAATATAATTTCTACATTTAGAATATTATGAATAATTGCCCTGGATCAAATTATTTACAATATTCTAACGATTCTAAATGTGGAAATTGTATTTTTAATACACAGCAATTCAGAAAATTAATTTTCAAGACAGTGAGTAAAATAAATAAGAGAAAATGTATGTACAAGTTTTTTTTACGGAAAGTAAAATGGACAAAATGTATAAATCCGCGTAATTTATTATTACAATTTTTTTTTTGTAAAAATTACAAATTTTAATTTAAAAAAGAAAAACTTGTCGAGACTCAAACCTGCACGCAGCGATCTCGTTCTTACGAAACAGGCGCGCTGCCACCGAGCCAAAGGAGCTTTACGAGAGCATCTGTTCGGAACTTACCCATACAGCACTGATCATTGCGGCAATATTGCAGCAACATTGCAATGTTCCAACAATATTGTTGCAATATTGGCAACGTTGCAGCAATGATCAGTGCTGTATGGGTACTGATATATCATTTGTGATTTATTAAAATAAAAAAAATATAAATAGTTCATCTTTACATAAAACCGCTTTCGAGCGAAAAAATCAAAAGAGTCAAACATTTCTCTTACTACAGTAATTTTTATTTATTCCTTGTACATACAATGTATTCAATCCGCGCGTATTTGTTATGCATAATCATATGCACGCGTGTCACAACAGCATTTAACATTTATATTTCAAAATTGCATTTTAGCTATCTTTTATCTCGCTGCCAGAAATCGTTCGAAATCCTCTTTCTGAATTTCGGCAACGCAGTGTGACAAAAAACGGGACGGGAGAGAGGGGAGTGTGTCCGTGAGACAAACAAACTCGCCCTAGAGTCCTAGATTATCAGAGAAGCGCGATCGGTGTTACGAGTCCTGATTGGACACGCAAATGGCCAATCATAAGATTGATTTATTGCTATTATAAATGGCTGCCGAATAAATCAAATTTATGATTGGCCATTCGACGCCATTTTTAATATTTTCTAGTACTTTTGCGATACTGTCTTAAGCCGGTCGCGCTTCTCTGATAATCTAGGACTCTAACTCGCCCGAGCTCCGTGTTTGTAGCTGGTGGTGAAACAAGGACGATCGAGATTGATGTCCGTCCTTGTCTAACTAACCTACTCGCATTCCTGCACATAGCACGGAACACAACCGCTAAATCGTGGACATAGCACGGATCACCACCAAAAATTCGTGGATATTACCGACAATTTCGTGGACATTGGTTATGTAGTTCAATATCCCTTTGACTATATAATCATGGACCGCTAGTTGCCCCGTCCCACCACCCCTCTCACCCATAAGGTTATGTATCCAACATGAAGTTGGCTTTAGCCCCGCCCCGTGTGGCAAATTGCGGGAAATTTAAAGGATATCAGAAGGATGTAAGAATTAGATGGGTGGTTGTTAATAAATATTATAACAAAATATAAAGAAACTGAGTCGACAAGGCACACAGGGGATA